GGCACGCTTTGGGCACCCGGCTCCTGCCCGTCTGGGTGGGCTCCAGGACCCCCAGCCTGCCTCTCGCAGAAGCCCCCCTTACCGCTGCCGCAATTCCTGGAAGACAATCCTATTTGGGAAGCCCTGGCGGCAAATGCGGATCCCCTCCAAGACCCCGTTGCACCTCAGCTGCTCCAGCACCAGGTGGGCGTCCAGCTTCCCTGCCTGGAAGAAAGGAAGGAGTGGGGGGAGGAGGAGGAGGAAGGAGGGAGAGAGGTTCCTGGTGTCCTAAGGTGGGCTGGGACACCCGCAGGGAAAACCCTCCAGAGCCTGGAATGAAAGGCTTCCTCCCCAAAAGAGACCCAGGGCGGCACCTGGGACCCCTTTAAGCGGGGAATCCCCGGGTAGAGCTGTGCTGGCCCTCCCCGATCTCTACCCTGCAGATGCACTGAACCCAAACTCCCGTGGCTGGCTGGGTATGATGGGAGTTGGGGTGTCTGGCATGGAGGTAGGGAAGGGCTGCCCGGCCTCTGCCAGGTGGGGGCCCCGCTGGGCACGGACCCTTTTCTCATGGTTTGGGATGATGCAGCGGACGAAGTTGGGGTTGGTGTTCCTTAGGGTGGTCATGAGCTTGGTCAGCTGCTCCTTGTAGAGCTGCCCCACCGTCCGGAACATGCCCTTCTTGGTCTTGGAAGCGCTGGGCAGGGAGCTCTCGGTCATCTTGGCCATCTGGTCCAGGCCCACAATGCGGTCCACTGCAAGAGAAGGGGGCCGGAAGGTCTGACAGGGGCCGCCTTCACCCAGCCAGGCTCAACCCCCCACACCCTTCCAGGGAGGCCCCCCCCACAAGCAGCTTGAAGAGCTTCTGATCTGGCCAGTGCTAGCTTAGTAAAAGCTGGACTACAGCTCCCCTCGTCCCCTCCCCGCAACCCAGACTTTTGTTCCCTACCCTCTTTCCAGAGATCTGCCACAAACTTCTCCGAAGACTGATTGAGGAGGGCTGTCACGTTGTCATTCAGAGGGTCCATGTTTTTGGTCAGCCAGGCGCTGGCGTTGTAGGACACCTGGAGGAAAAGCACGAGAGCCACAGGGGTCAGAGGGCCCCCCTGGGAGTAGCTGAGGTGGTGGGGAGGCCGGCCAGGCTGCCCTCCTCAAGAAGGCAGGGAGAGCATCCCTGGGCACCAGGAAGAGAAACCTCATTTGATACCTTTCCGGCGTAGTGGACGATGCAGAACTCGGTTTTGTCCTTCAGCTGCTTCTGCCTCAGGAACTTGGGGTGGTTTCCTTGCTCGGTGCACAGCTTCTCCACAAAGGAGGTGTCGGTGGCCTTTGGGAACCAGCATTCCTCGTCCAGCAAGGCCAGGACGCCAGGGGGGTTATTCTGGAGCAGCAAGGAGGGGAGGGGGTTAGGGCGAGGCTGCTGGTGGAGGAGGAGCTGCGGCACCACCTCAAGCTCTGTGGACTGGTGGGGGAGCAGCCTTTGGCCAACTCATCGGCAGAGAGAGGAGCAGCCTCCGCTCGGCTCCTTCACTCAGCAGGAGAGGCCTGAGTGGAGACGGGGCTACTCTTAGGAATGAAGGGCAACATTGACTTCAACAGTCAACCTAGTCGACCCCTTCTGTCTGAAACGAAGGACGGGAGCATTCAGGCTTTCTGCAGACCAGAGGTGGGTTCCTACCAGTTCGCACCTATTCGGTAGAACCGGTTCGTCAAATCTACCGAACCGGTTAGAAGAGGTTCCACCAGTGGACCCGGAAAGCTGCCCACACCTACAGAAGAGGGTCCAAAATTTTTTGAAACCCACCCCTCACACACACACACACACACACAGACAGACAGACAGACTGACAGAGAGAGAGAGAGAGAGAGAAAGAAAGGAAGAAAGAAAGAAAAAAGAAAGAAAAAGGGTGAGAGAGAGATGAAAGAAAAAAAGAAAAAAGGGACAGAGAGACAAAAGGAAAGAGAAAGAGAGAGAGAGAGAGAAATAAAACACATGGGCGGCAAGCCACTCCCACCAGGTCACATGGCTGGCAAGCCACTCCCACAAAGGAGGCCACGCCCACAGAGTAGGTTCCAAAAAAATTTGAAACCCACCACTGCTGCAGACCCACTGTGTCCTGGGGAAGAGCAGACTAAAGGAGCTGAAAAGGACCTTGAAGGTCTTCTAGTCAAGCCCCTTGCTCAGGCGTTAGGAAGCCCTAACTCCCAAATCCAGCGCTGCCCAGAACGCCCCCCCTTCTCCCTGCCCGCTTTCCCCTGTTCTTGAAGGTGGGAGCTGGAGGGCATCAAAGCAGCAAAGCCCCCCCCCCCCCCCCCCCGGCCTCCTCACCGGCCTCTCGATCAGCTCAATGCAAGGCTGCAGGTCCAGCCCGAAGTCAATGAAGTTCCACTCGATGCCCTCGCGCTGGTACTCCTCCTGCTCCAGGATGAACATGGTGTGGTTGAAGAGCTGCTGCAGCTTCTCGTTGGTGTAGTTGATGCAAAGCTGCTCGAAGGAGTTGATCTGGAAGGGCAGTCGGGGACGGTCAGGCTGCCCTGCGAGGAGGGGCTGGCACAGAAGGCTCCCCCCCCCCCGGAGCCTCCCCAGGAAACCTACCTCGAAAATCTCAAAGCCGGCAATGTCCAGGATGCCCAAGAAGGAAGCGCCTTGCCTTTTGGTCTTGTCCAAGGCTTTGTTGACCCGGGTGAGGATCCAGCGGAAGAGGCGCTCGTAGGTGGCTTTGGCCAAGGCCTCTATGGCAAAGTCCGCCTAAGGAGGCAAGGGGGGAGCCGGGCTGAGCTGCTGGGGGGCTCCAGGCCGGTCAAGACTCAACGCCAGGGATCTGGGCCGGCCTCCTCACCTGTTCCTTGGTCTGGGCCTTCTGAACGACGTCTCGGCCAACCTTGATCCGCGGGGTGAGGATGCACCGTGTGAAGTCGGTCACGTTGATGCCCGTGAGGTGGCAAACCTTTTGGGCAGCTGGAATCAAGAGACGCCACCATGAAGACCATCCGGGTGATCACATCCCCCCCTCCCCCCCCCTGTGGCCGACCGGGCTCCTCAGGGACTCCACTCACCCTCAGGAGGGGAGACTCTTCCGCCACCGCTGGCCACTTACCTGTGTTGTCCGGCATGGATGCCTGATCGGTGTTTCTCTCCTTCTTGAAGACGATATTGCCCAGCTGGAGAACCGATGAGACCACTTTCAGCATGGCTGTGAGGTTAGGAAGGAGAGGATTTCAAAGGAGGCCTCTGGGGAGGCGAGTGGATTCTCCCTCTCGGTCCCAGGGGCTTCCTTCCCCGTAACTATCCCACCAGAGGCTTTGCTGAGCTCCGAGAGAGTCAGGGTCAGGCAGGTCCCCCGTGTGCCAATTGGAGGAGACCCTTCAGCAGCCTCGCAGCTCATCCCCGGAGCCCCAGGGAGGCCGCTGCATTCTAAACATCCAGAGCCAGAATCCCAGTCCTCTCTGCTCCTCTTACCAACTTGTTCTTCTTCCGTGAATCCCATAATAGTCATGGCTTCCAGGGTCTCCTCGAACATTTCGCTGTCCTGCTGAGAAGGGATGGGCACGTAGCCGTTGGAGAGGAAGGTGTAGTTGTTGAAGCCTTCCAGCAGGAGGTCCACTGCAAGGCAAGAGAGCAGAACCTCAGCCGGGCCAGGAGCCCCCCGGGACCTTCCTCTGGCTCCCAACTCCTGGGGCCTCTCGGCCACACCGCTTACTTCCGCCCTGGCCCTGAAAGGTCCACTTGGGCAGCCCTGCTCCTAACCAAGGGGCTGAAGGGGAAGTCCCACTCTCCTCCCCTCCCCCAGGGAGTCTCCTTCAGTGGGGAGCCCATGGCAGGGCTTCCGGCTTTGGGCACAAGGCTTCCACTGGCCTCGGAGGGCAGAAATGTCCTCATGACTTCAATGCCAGCATCCTTTGGGGAAGGGAGAACCTGTCCGTCCCCCCCCCCGCCAGAAACTGCAGCCGCTCTGAAGTGCCCCCCCCTGTCTCTCAGGCACCTCCCCTGAAATCGGCCAAGGAGGCCACTTACTCTTCATTTGTTCGTTGGCTCCGGCAAGTAAATAGTAAAAGATATGAAAGGTCCTTTCCTCTCGGGCCTGCCGAATAGCGCGAGATTTTTCCAGCAAATCTGTCCGGGAAGGTTCAGCAAGCAAACCATTGTTTAAAAGAAATGCTAACTTTAGCCACAGTTAGGTGGAACAAGGCAGTTGCCTGAAGCAAGAGGGGGGGTTATGAAAAAAAGGATACAGGTTTCAATATTTGCTCCCACGATGTACCCCGTCACGTCAAAGTTGATGCGGATAAATTTGCCCTGTTGGAGAAAGGAGGCAGCGTGGTTGGGTGGGCTGCGGGGGCTTCAGAGAGTTTTGACATCCTCTCTCTCCATTTAAGTATAATCCTTTCCTTCCCTTTCTCCTTCCAGGGGAGAAGGAGTCCTCCACTTGCCAGTTTTTCCTGTACTTATTTGGTTCATCCCCCCCGCCTTTCCCCATTCAAGAGGTCGTTCACTTACGAATCGGGAGGAGTTATCATTCTTCACAGTTTTGGCGTTTCCAAAAGCTTCCAGGATGGGATTGGCCTGGAGAAGCTGCTTTTCCAACTCGCCCTAAAATTGATCCAAGCATTTGGCTGTCAGTCCCTGGCTGGGTGGGTGGGGGGGGTGAGTGGGAAAGGGTGGGGCTGTAATTCAAGTTGCCCTCAGAGAAACCATCTCGTGTGGATCGAATGCAGAGAGAGGCGCGTCGTTCTCCAGCTGCACTTGCCGCAGGGAAGCGCCCACAACTTGGACGCATTTTACCTACAGGGAGATTCCCTGGGGCTGATTTTGGCCTCTGGCTCCGGACTTTGTGGGACTCGGCCCCTATTTTGTTTCGTGAAGCTGCTCAAGGCAGCCGATCGCCGCGTTCTGGACGGTCTTCAGCCACGGCAGCAATCGGTCGTGACTCGTATCTTTTTTTCCCAGCTCATTTATTAGGCCAAAGCAAATCAGAGAAATTTTTTTTGCAATTGCCGGCAAAGCATTCATTTGCCAAGGAAACGACAAGAGAAATTAGGCAGAGGGGGGGCGGGGGGGCGGAAGGAATGGTTGCGCACAACCTTCCTTCTGACGCAGCCCGAAGCAGATGACACCATTAATGGCGCCTATTAATTGGGTTAAATACTGGCTGGGACAATGCATGGTTTTATATTTAAAAATAAGGCGACTTTTGCATGCGGAAAAAGGAACATCCAGGCAGGTAACACACCAATGAACAAGCCATGCGAAAGAGCGGCCTCTTTCCCTTAACCTCTCGTCACAGGGGAAGCTGGGAGGAGGAGGAGGGGGCTGCCCCACCCCGTCTCAAAGCAAAGGCAGAGGCTGATGGATTTGAAGAAATCATTGCCATGGAAAACCTGATTGGCTTCTACACCCCTTTGTCTATGGCAAAGAAGCAGATATGGAAGGATACGGAGGGTCTCTGCTCCACAATGGAGGGGGGGCAGAAGCCTCCACTGATATGAAAGGGTTCTTCGGCTGGGCAGATCCTCCCCTTAGCTCCGTTCCCCATCCCAGCTTCTCCCCACCAGCAGCCCCTCCATATCCCCCCAATTACAGACCCTCCAACCTCTGCCCAGCAGAAAGGCCGGCAGGCTCAGCCAGTTGCTCTGCATGCAGAAGACTCAGGAAGGCCCCCCCACCCCCCACCCCAAGGGCAGAGTGGCAGGCAAGGGAGGGGGAAGAGGCACACAGCAAGCCAAGAAGAACAGATCAGTCACTCTACTGGCACACGGTGATCATCCGGGGTGTAAGACCGGCTTCCATAAGCCCCCCAACCCACCCACCCCCCTGCTCTGGGCTGGCCCACTGGAGCTGCCCTTTGCCCCCCACTCTCAAGGCCAAAAACGAAGCACTCCGTTGTGCAACTCAGAGGATGCTCTTCCAGGAGGAGCCCTGGTGCTGGAGAGGCCGCCATCCTGCTCGCCCGGGAGCAGCTGGGGGAAGGAGCGGCCTGCGTGGGCAAGATCCGGCTGGGCAACCGAGGGGTTAGCCATGGGGCGCTCTGGGCAGGGCACCTCCAGGCCCCCCGAGACCTCTCTGGGGAGGGAGTGCAAGAACACCATGCAGGTCTACAGGCTGTGCCTTGACACACACACTGAACCAGGTTACTCACGTAAGCAAAACTGGGGCCTTGCTGCAGTCAAAGAACAGGGCATAAAAGAAGCGTCAGTCTCTTTACCAAGCCTTCCGGCCACTCTTCGCCTTGGGCACCTCTGTCTCCAGCTGTGCAAGGCATCTCCGCAGGGAGCATCGCCACCAGAGGACCCACCGGGGGGGGGGAGAACTCTCTTTCACCTCTGGAATCCCTGCTCCCTCCCAAAATGTGCCCTCTCAGCCTGGCAATGGGCACCTTTGGTTAAGCAGGCACCATCCGACGTGCCTTGCCCCACTGGCAGCCTCCAGAAGTCAAGGACTACAACTCCCATCACTCCCGCCTGCCTGCCTGCCTGCGGATGGGCCAGATTGGTCTCAGTGGAGTCCAAATCGCCCAGAGGAGTCAGGCTGGGGAAGCCAGTGGTGTCATCTACAAATCAGGGAAAAAAAGACTCTCCCCACGTTGCCATCTTCTTCTTCTTCTTCCTGCTGTTGCTGAAACTTGGTCTGAAAAGGGGGGGGGGCTTGTGGCCCAGAGGAAGAAGCCCCCCCTCACCCGTTGCTGCCCCCTAGACTGAACGGGAGTGGGGGTCAGGGGCTGCTCACCGTGATGCTGGTGTCTTTTTTACCCTTATGCGAGGAGGCGACCACGGCCAAATACTGAATCACTTTCTTGGTGTTTTCTGTCTTGCCTGCGCCCGATTCTCCCCTGGGGGAAGGAGGAGGAAAAAGGCTGTGAACACACACACACACACACACACACACACACCCTTCATGGAGTAGTAGTGGGGGCTCCTGCGTAGCCAATGCCCGAAAGGAGGGAAGAGCAAGGGAGCTCCAGGGACTGATGAGTTCCCAGCCCCACTCGAATTGTTGACTGTTGTGTAGTTTTAATGTGTCTCTGTATCCTGTCTTGTTTCGTTCATTTTTTGTACTGTCCCCTTTCCCATATGTCTGTTCGCTGCCCTGAGTCCCTCCGGGGAATAGGGCAGCATACAAGTCTAATAAATGGGAATGGAATGGAATGGAGCCTTAAGCTGCAGCAGAAACCCAGCTCCTTTAAGCTCTTCCAGCCACTTGGGAATCTCCCTGGGAGCCTCTGGTCTCACACTGACGCCAACCTCCGGCCCTGCAGGCTCTGTGGCCTGGCACTCCTAC